CCGCAGACTAACATCTTGATACAACGGCCAAGGATGTAGAACTTGGCTCGTTGTTTTTTCACAATATGGCTGCACTTCTCGCCGAACGTCTTGCACGGCTCGCATATCCCGCTTGTGCCGTTCTCTTCTCCCATTACTCAGTTTACTTGACGATCCCAACACTACAAGGACAAAATTTGGTAGCCTTTGTGTGAAAAATGAAGATTTAATTTTGTTGCGGTTTCTACTTATGAAATTTTTTAGTAGAGATGTGAAGAGAGGGAGAAGATATTGGAGAGTTCAGTCAATATATGGAGGGAGCAAGCTGTGAATTAGAAAGAGGGGTCACTGGCTTTGGAACGATAAATGATTGATATGTGACATGTTTTTGTTTTCTAGGTACACGTAACATTAATACGTAAATACTATACATTCTGGAAAATATAAATATTAATGTCATATGTGTTCTATGGTTTTGGCTTTACGGTGAAATGTTTGGAAGTTTTTTTCAAGAGATCTTTATATTAGACCGAGTGAAGTTGTTGAGAAAATAAAACAAAAAATAGTGTTTATTTTAATGTTTATCGGGAATATGTAATACTATATATGAACTCTATGAGATATGAAAACTAAAAACTAGAGTGCAAAGGCGATTTATTGAGCCCCAAGCCAAACCTAACTCTATTCTTCACCGCCGACGTTGGCCCTGGACTCCGGCTCTACTCTCATGGCCAAGAAATTACTACTCTCCTCAAAGTCCTCTCCCACAATCTTTTCTCCTCCGATTCAACCTCTCCCAGATCTGCGTGAGAGGTGGATCGTTGCTCTTGAGCCACCACCGCCGCCATTCTTAGATCTGCTAGTAACAGTAACAACTTCCGTCGACGTTCCCAAGGAGACACTTTTGGGCCTTCGCGGCCTTGGTATTTTGCGAACCTATATGTCGGCTCCCATGGAATCCGGCAAGCTTTCGAACTGCTTTGTCTTCAGCTCGAGACAAACTCCTTAATCACTGGCAAAGTTTCCAGACGTGCTTCGGAGAATGGGTAGGTTTCATTTGCTAGATCCGAGCTTATTCTCAAGGCCCATAAGGCTTCTTCTCATTACCGTCTCCGGTGACTGCAACCTAAAATCAACTATCGGTGGCTGCTCTCCAACTTCCCCAACGGGGCTCCTCCTCGCCGACCAATCATCTCGGCGGCTCCTCTGCAGACGCCTAAGCCACCGACAACCCTACAGCCCTATCAACCTTCTCCAAGTATGGGCCTAGCCCAGTCTAAAATATGGGCTCTCAAGCCCAAAGCATTGCCCATCAAGGCCCAATCTTATTCACCTATGGACTAGAACCGCTGCCCCACTTGATCACCAAACGGAGCCGGTCTATCGTCCACCACCGGTCTCCTCCACCCTCCACTGGTATCCACCATATGCTCAAATTTCAGGCTCGCCGCTAGTAGCTTTGGCGCCGGCGAGACATCAGAAGATCAAGTTTCTCGCAGTGCCGACCTCTCAAAGAGTCACCGTACGTGAGACGGATCGAAGCTCAGAGACCGTTGTGTCTCCTCTCGGGAATTTTTTCGATGATGTTCTTAGAAGCCAGCTGCTCTTGTCACTTCGAGACGGTATTGTCTCAATCTCTCCGGATAAGGTATAAATCGTGCTCCTACTCTCCTTCAATCGTATTTTTGGATGTGTATGGCACTGCTTTAGGAATGTTACCGGAATCAGGTGCCTACTCTTCATCGACCCTACTGATGGATGTGTGGGTTACCAAGTTGGATTTATTATCAGAATTGGGTGCATACTCTCCACTGAATTCGGATGTGTATGACACCTCTTTGGATAGCTTTTGGGTGTCTTCTCTGTGTACTCGGAAGAGATCATTTTCAGTCCTATTCCTCGCCGGCGAAGGGACAACGAGACAACAGGTTCCCGTCGACTTCATTCTTATCTTAGCCCGGAGTTGTAATTTCTTGGGTTTGACCCATAACTTTCCCGTAACTAGCTTGTTTAAACTCGATTACGTCCATATAAGTTCCTCCGTCAAGGAGAGATATACCATAACCACTTCTCTGGAGTGTGTTCACAAAAGCTCAGCCGTTAAGACAGCTATGTATGTTCTTTTGCCGGTTATTGCAGAAGAATTGGAGATCGATTTGCTTGCAATCGATTCTGAAGCCCTTTTTAAGAGGCTTTCGGTTTGTGTCTACGATTCAAACCGTGTAACCTATCTCTTGAAGTCTATCTTGACGCATCCGGGATCTATTCTGGATTCGCTGTCTATTAGCTTTATTGTTATTCTCTTCTATGTGTTTATTGCTTTCAATCGATGTATTCTACTCTTTTGTAAGATTACAATCTAAGTATGAATGAAGAAATTGTTGAACAAAAAAAAAAAAAA